GGTTTTAGAAACCTCACAAACACAAATAGGACAAGGCATAAGTTTTTATCCATAACTCTTTTAAGTTTGGAATTGTAGCTGGATACATACAACATTCATTGATGAATTGTAGCTATCTCCTTGTGTAAGTAGAAGATCTTAGATCCATTTACTTTATCAAATCTCTCTTTTAAATTAGTCCACAATTATTGAGCTTACTAGCATAGACTACTCCACTTAGTAATTCCCTACTAACAAATATTATAATCCACGACAACACTAGTACATTGCATTTCTTCAAAATATCATGCAGTGATTCATTGAACTTATCTTTGGAGTATTTGCCATTGATGAATCCTAATTTTTCTTTACCTAGTAGACCTTTCTTCATGGATCTACTCCACAATGAATAATTTTTAGATTCAGTAAGTTGAATTGAAACCAAAGAACTACCTAGAGTATCATATGCTTGCAAATACAATGGATGATGAGCATCGGCTACTGTAACCCCTCCTTGCACTGAAGTGGTTACAGAAACACTCGTCATCAAAGAGATCAGCTGAAATTGTGATCTTCACTACTTCTAGGACAATACAACTACTCCTTAGAGAGACTAATTTGCACTAAAAGGCAGAGAGATCTACAGAGTTATACCTCATGCTCTGATACCATGTTAAGTATCAACAATGGTGATCTTCATGATCAATGAATAACTAAGAAGAGAAACTGAGAAAAACTATATTGAATTCATAATGGTTCAGATTAATTACAATTATATCTAAGCTTCACTATTTATAGTGTAGTAGCTGCTAGGGTCTTAACTATCTAGACTAGTTAGCTTTACTTAACCATCGCTAACTATAACTAACTTTGTAACAATCTAGAACTAACTTTGTAACAAACTTTTTTGACAAAATCTGTAACTACCAGTCTCTCAATGCATAATAGCTATACTTCAAATTTTATAGCAATTCTTTCCTTTCTCTCAAAATTTTGCTCGCCTCCCTCTCTCTCCCTCTCTCACTCGCTCCCCCTTCTCCCTCTCTCACTGGCTCCCCCTCTCCCTCTCTCTCCCCTCTTTCTCCGTGTCTCGTCTCTCACCCCCTCCTTCTTTATATTTATATTCAGATTTCACAATATGATATAAAAATTTGATTTCCCAATAGATAATTTTCTTTATTCTTTGTCTAAGTGATTAAAAAATAATAATTAGGAGTCTTTAAAATTTCAATCGAAGACAATTGACTACTGCTAAAAGGACTAAGAGGCCTCATGAAGATGACTCCACTTCATTTGAAAGACACGATACTCATTAGCGAGCGTCTGGTGATCCCAAATATCGAACCTAAACAGATCAACTAGTTAAATATCTTTGATAAACTTCTATTAAGTAGAGACTAGAGAGTGCACTCAATGGAACCTTGCTGTAAGTTTTTTTTGGCAACAATCTTTTACTTTTGGAGGTAGAAATAAGGAGGGATAAAGCATAAAAGGAATAATATAAGATCATTTCAAAACTCGAAACTAAGATTATATATTTGCACCGTATGGCACGTTCTAAGAGCCCGTTTGACCGTGCAATATAGAATCATGATATGGAATCATGATATGATATCATAATATGAAATTGAAGTTTTGTTTGGACATGCGATATGGAAATTTTGTATTGTATATTTTCTCATAAACATAAGAACCTCATAAATTGTAAAACTATTAAAAGAGCCTCAATTATTTATTCAATCTTACCAAATAAATAAAAATTTATAAAATTGCATAATAAATTATTACAAAGCTATTTGTTCTCCACTTAAGTAATTGTTTCATCTAACTTTAATTGATCAAACTTTAATTCAATAAAAAAAATTGAACATAAATTGTAGTGTATTAGTCTTTAATATAATCCTCCCACGTAGTATGGACAATCTTCTCACATTGTTTCTCGATCATATGGCCGAAAAGACGAACCAACATTGTTACTTTGAGTCATTTGTTAAAGAATATCATTCACAACTATATTTTCATGCTCATAGACAATAAATATTTCATCACTCCTTTGGTATTCTCGCAAATACTTATGTAACAATGTACAAGATATGATAATTTTCACTTGTGTATTAATATCATAACGGTTCTTGCCTTGTTTCACTTGTGTGCAATTACACATTTTCAGTGCATTAATTTCGTGCTAAAATCAAACATATTGAAAGTAGTGATTATCAAATATACATTACTAATTTTGTCCTTTTTCATATTAAATTGCTTTAAACATTTTCATATGTAGCCGAAAGAGAAGTTTTTTTACCAAAAAGAGTATTACTCCCTCCGTTCTTATTTATATTCACAAAATCAATTCATAATTTATCATTTCTATTCACCAAATTTAAAGTAATAATAAATTTTATGTTGATGAGACTAATAAATTTTAAAAAGTAATGATATGATTATAAATTTAATTTACATATGAAATAAATGGTTAGTAAATATAAATGTGGGATTGATTTAACAAAATATAAACTTGTGGGTCAATTTTGTATTTAAAAAATCTCAAATCATGATATGGAATTCCCAAATATGATTTTTGAAGAATATGAGATTCCATGTCATGCTATGAAATCATGAGATGGAATCAACATAAAATTGTATGTCCAAACACTGATTCCATCTTATGATTTCATATTGTAATATGGCATCGCATGGCCAAACGCCTACTAAGGTTATTCTTCAAATTTTGTCTACGACAGCTCAATGAGCCCAACTTCTAAATAGGCTGACTTGGTTGTACCCAAATTGAACCAACTTCCCCTGTGAAAATATAGTGAGCCCAACTCGCTAAAATATGGCCGTCAAATATGACCCAAAATCTTTATTATAAGTTCAATTATAACCTATTTTAAAGATTTACTTTAACTTGTGTTTATGGCTTGAGATTTACTTTGATTTTTTTTAGAGCAACTTTCACATATAGCAAACATAAAAATCATATTTGTAAGTTATAGCTATTGTTTGCATAATTGCGCTCCATAACAAATTTTATGTTTGCTATGGAGTTTTTGATTTGTATAATTCGCTACAAACATCCAATTTTATACAAATTGTTCAATTTTGTATAAATTCATTTATACATTGTAATTTGTATAATAAGATATGTATTTGTATAATTATAAGTGTATATTTGTATTTGAATATACACTTTTCTCTCACTTTATACAAGCACAAACGCATTTTATCTATTTTATACTGAAATGTATAAAATGGCTAATTGTATACCTAATCAGATGGCAAAAAAGGAGATGTTTGCCGCGAATTACAATTAAAATAAACTATGGCTATAACATTTAATTTGAATTAATAGTTTGCTATTTCATACAATTTTTCCTTTTTTTCTTTGGCTAGCAACTTTAAGTGAAAGGATTTGAGCATCCACGACCATCAAATTCTGGATCCGCCACTAATGAATTCCATTGGATATGTTATTATTGTTATTTGGTGTTTACTACTCCTATCGATTCAATTAGTATAACTTTTATATTTATTACTGGGTGGTCGATTTGAAATATCTGGAAGAGAATATAATCTTGGTAACATGCTTATGTTTCCAAGGTCTCTAGCATGGTATCTTTGTTGAAGATTTAATAGAATATTTTAACTGATGAAGTAGTTTGTTTATGTTACTTCACAGAAGCTGGGTTCTCCCAGCCTTTAATTTGACAATGCTGCTAAATTAACATGCCACAACTAAGCAAATTACTAGCAATATTGGAGGTAAGACAGTTTAGGATAGTACAGAATACTATGTAGTTACGGGTAAAATTAGCCCATGAAAATATGAGTCACACAATTTGTCTAAGTTTGGGTGTAGGGATATCAACTGGGCATCTCTTCTTCTTCTTTTTGTTGAGAAAATACCCGCTCGATAAAATATTTAGGAAAAAGTGTATGAAATAACAAACTATTAATTCAAATTAAATGTTATAGCCATAGTTTATTTTAATTGTAATTCACAGCAAACATCTCCTTTTTTGCCATCTGATTAGGTATACAATTAGCCATTTTCGGTATACAATTAGTCATTTTATACATTTCAGTATAAAATATATAAAATGTGTATGTGTTTGTGCTTGTATAAAGCGAGAGAAAAGTGTATATACAAATACAAATATACACTTATAATTATACAAATACATATCTTATTATACAAATTACAATGTATAAATGAATTTATACAAAATTGAACAATTTGTATAAAATTGGATGTTTGTAGCGAATTATACAAATCAAAAGCTCCATAGCAAACATAAAATTTGCTATGGAGCGCAATTATGCAAACAATAGCTATAACTTACAAATATGATTTTTATGTTTGCCATATGTGAAAGTTGCTCAAAAAAAAAAGTTTACTAATATTTTTATAGTTTAGTTAGTAAATGAAATACAAAAAATAGAAAAATCAAAAATAATAAAAAATGTAACCAAAAGTCAACGGTGAAAATGTATAAAAAGAAGAATTAAAAAAAACAATGAAGAAGTTTGAGTTAGCTTTTTCAACAAAAATATACGCTATTGCAGGGGGTTCAAACCCTCAACTAGAGGCCTCAATGACCTCAAAATTCTACTCCTGAACCAAAGTACATACAAGACGTTTTGTTCAATAGTGCTCGGGAGCTCTTTATATCCATTTTCTAGTATTTTTGATATATATATATATATATACAAAATTTTCGTCGGGATTAATAGGTGTTCGAGCATCCGAAATCCTCTATGTGGGTTCGCCCCTGTGATTTACGTCTGAAAGGGTAGAATGTATGCATATATTAATTTCTATCTTTTGTAGGGTATAGAGTTTGTTTTCAAGTGACCCTTAACTTGAAAGAAAAGAGAAAGATTCATGATAGCACAAAAATATGAAACAAAATAAGAAGATACAAGCCAAAAAGATGTAAATAGACTTGCCTAAAAATGCAAGGGTCAATAACCACTAAAATATTGTAGGTTATTTCCAACAAATGGTCAAAGGTTTTCTCTTGCCAATGAACCTTGTTAAAAATATCTAACCTTGTTACTTTTAACTTTGAATACAAAGGTAGAAGTAAAAGAGAGAGAAAAAAAAAGAATTATGAAATCTACATTACATGAAGATCATCTTAGCTTAATTAATTAACACCAGAAGAATTAAGGAAAAAAAAAACATCCCTAAAGATTCAACCACCACTAAGACCATTGTAGTTAATCACCCCTTAATCGCCAATGAAGATCCAGCTGCATCCAAAACCATCAAATGATTTCCAATTAAACCACATAATAAAATGAATCACACCAAAAACTCTTCAAGAAAAAAATTCAACATGACATATTGCAAGTACTTTTTCTATATATAAATGGAGCCAATGTTCTATGAATTCAACTGAATCCAGTATTTTCAACACGAAACACAGATGTGAGATATATATATGTGAAAAACACAAAAATTTCAAAGTACAATGAGTTCAACATCATTAAACTTTAAATCCTAGATCCACCTCTACTGTAATCACCAATTCATGTCAAAAAAAGATTAAAAGGAGTAGGGAAAATTAGACTCACAAGAATCATGTTGAGGATCAACACCATGACCTCTTTGATGACTCTCCATGCATTGCAACAAGTACTTAAAAGTCTCAATCTCACAAGGTATAGTAAGTCCACCAGTATGATCAAATCCAAATTCTTCTTCAACTTTTTCCAACAACACTTTGAACAAAGGATCACTAAGGTAAGTTGTAGGAATTATAAACCTACGAAGCTCCGGTCCAACATAAACTCCTAAATAACCTTTAGGAACACCATGGGGTGGCTCTGGACTCTGGCAACTCTCGTCGTCCGAATCACAACACACATTAATGGAGTTCTTTAGCCTCTTTGTAATAGCTGGTGATATACCTCCATGAAAATTGCCATTATTACTATCAATATTTGATGATTGAAGAGTACCTTTAGGACTAAGTGTCACATTTTGCCATTTATGTAACAACTCTTTAAGTCTCACAATTTGCCTTATACCTGTCACCTTGCTTCCTCCTCCATGTTCATCCATCTTTTGCAACAAGATTGATGACACTAACAATATGTATTACCGAATTATGATCGATCGAAAAATATGACTCATCAGATCTTGTTCCTCTGCAATTTTATTTTATTATATAGAATGATATCATACTCAAGAGGTAATTAATATATTAAACAGAGATCCATTGAGCTAAGTTTGGTTTTTTTTAGCTTTAATAATTTTAGTGCATGTGAAATCCAAAATGGGGTATGACTTTACTAGAATCATAAGCATTTTGCAAATCACATGATGAGCAGCTAATACAATCATTAATTTAGCAAATAAAATACTATTTTTATAGCATATACATCCAAAGACATGAACATATATTAAATTAAATTAGCATTACAAGCAATCATGAATTGTAAATACAACCATAGAAATAAACAAATAAAATAAAATAGTGGCGGTGACATAAAGCTATATACATTACTTTATTTTTTCTTATTGATTTAATTTGTTATTTAAGACACCCTAATATTCTCCCTCTTTCGGCTCAATAGACAAAAGCAGTAGGGATCTTTTAATTATTAAATAACTCAATATTGGATCCATCAAATATGGATGTTTGATTAAACGCCACCTCAAACACTAGAAATTTTAATTATTAGCTCAATCTTGGATCATACTCCCTCCTTTGTTTTTTAGTCTTCACGGCCCTTTTTGAGAGTCAATTTAACTAATTTTCAAAGCTAAATTAGATTGGATAATTTCATCAATTCCATATTTTAAAATAATATTTTAGATATTCAAAAACTATGGAAAAGTACTATAAAATTGCAACTTTTTCCATATCAATATGATGAAAAAATACATCTTAAAATATTAATCAAAATTCATATCGTTTGACTCTCAAAAAGAAAACTATGACAACTATGAAGGAACGGAAGGAGTATAATTTTGTAATTTGGGTAATTTATCAGATTGAAAGCTGACCCCAAATAAAGATTAAAAAAATTAAAACAGATCATTGCATATCTTCTTTGTGATACCCAAATCAAAATATTGACATATCTTTTTTAATTGTCACTGTAATAAACAAAGATGAATTTAAAATTTTATTAATTAGTACTATAATACATTTGTATTGTTTTAAAACTATATAATAACACTTGCAACGGCTCCTAATAACAGAGATTACATACATGCATATGAAAGACAATCACGACAGTAATGCAAAGAGAAATTAGACAAATTAAATAAGAAAAAAAATAGTTAAGTATAAGATTTGATGTTGATTTAATTACCTGCAGAAAGGACAGGTCAAAAGAAGGTACTAAGAATAGGATAAGATCAACATCATAGATTGATTCTGTAAAAGATGAGATCAGTAAATGACAATTAACTGAAATTTCATCGTCAATATTGAATCGACGATACCAAAGGTTAAGAGGAGCTTTGAAATGAAGAGTGGTGGAAAGTTAATTTTGGGCTAGAAGATAAAAGGGTCTGTTTTTCTTTTGTTAGAGAGTTTGATAGATTTTGTAGAATCCATTAAAATGAAGAATGATTGTGAATAAAATGTCATATTAATTTCCATATCATGATAAATGATTAAATCAGACTCCTCTTTGGGCTTATATACACATCCTTTGTTTTCTCCTATCCTTAGGAATTTCACCCGTTTTTTCGCTTTTCCTACCGATTTATGCGTCCACCCGTTTCCTCTTACTCTTTTTTTTTCTTCTTTTTCTAGTATAGTCTAATTCCTAAAATAAGGTAAGTCGCTAATATTTTATGTTGACCTGATACACTTCTTAAAAAAGATTTAAAATATAATTAGAGGTGCATTAGCTAATCTTATTAATGATATTTAAATTTTGAAACTTTAAATTTGACTATTATTATTTAATGTAATTATTTAATACTAAGGGTAGTATATATGAGAATTTTTTTTATAACTTTCTTGATTTTCTAAAATGAACTAGTAAAGTGAAACATTTATTTTTGATAAGCAAAATGAAACGAAGAAAATACAAGTTTACAACAAAAAAAATATACTGATAATATAATTGTTAGTTACCACTACATTTTTTTAAAGAACAACCGACTAAGTAATATAGATGCTTGGAATCCGCATTGAGTTGGTGTAGCATGGGTATTCCATAAGGGAGATCATGGATTGAATCTCACATGGTCCTTTCTCAATTGGCTGACTTGGTGCAATAGGTGTGGTATCACAAAGGGATTCCAAGGGATCTCCACCGCCTGATCCTTTTTCAATCGAGTTCATCACACATGGTTTACCTAATGCGATTTACTTTTCCTATGTAATTTTCAAATTATTGCAATAGGAGTAGATTTACCCAATGCACACCTGAAAAATAATAATGATAGATTTCCCTAGGATTTTTGAAAATAAAATAAAATAAAATTATATATAGACTCCCAACAGGAGATGTAGGAACAACCCAATTTCTAGACCTAGACTGTAAAAGAGAACCAGAACTAGATTTAGATGTATGGGCACAAAACATATTTCTTTTCTTTCTATTAGGAAACGGAGTAAATTACACCGACGAGGAAAAATATATCATTACGTTAAATACTTTCGCCGGTAAAGTAAGCAATTGGCATACCGGATTGTTTGATGATGCGAAAGGAATCATCAAAAATTATACCATAGAAGAATTCAAAAAATCCATTCAAGAAGGGATAAGAGCCCTTGTAAAGTTCGTAGGAAATGAATTCCTAGGTAGTGAAGGAAGTGCATCTCAAAATTGAGAAACATTAAGAATAATAGCAAAAGAACAATTGGAAAAATTGCAGATTTGCAAAATGAGTTATATTCAAGAATACACATGTGAATTTGAAGAATATTACTATAAAATATTTGATAGCAGTAAAGAAATGCTATTTTTATTTTATTGATTATTTAATTTGATTTTTGGACTTTCGATTTAATTTTATAAAAAAATACATTTGGTGAGGATGTAACATCTCATTCAAGAATTAGAACATATGAAAAGTAGGGGTGTACATTTGAAAATCGAAAAATCAAATAATTTTTATTTTATTGATTATTTAATTTGATTTTTGGACTTTCGATTTAATTTTATAAAAAAATACATTTGGTGAGGATGTAACATCTCATTCAAGAATTAGAACATATGAAAAGTAGGGGTGTACATTTGAAAATCGAAAAATCAAATAAAAAATAAATTTTATTGACTATTTAATTTGATATTTTGATTGTTGATTTGATTTTATAAAAAAATACATTTGATTTGTAGTATTGGGTGGTAAGGAAAACAACAAGAGTTAAGTAAATCAAAAGGAGAAAAATCAAATTAAATTAAATTTATTTTGTGTTCGAATGCAATTTTTTAAAATTAAAAATTAAAAACTGAAACTGAACAATGCAATATAAACAAAATAGTCGTATGTATACATATAGAAGATAAACACATAATAAATGTAACGAGTTTGCGTAATATAGAATTGCACACTCGTCTATAAGAAAAAAATTAAGTTAGAGATACTTTATTTTATAGTTACAAATTGTAATTTATATTTTATTTTAATCCAAAGCAAAACATAGCGTGTGATCAAGTATTTGGAAAAAGCAAACAAATTTATTAATTTCAATATGATTGTCACACTAAAGATGATTTAATTGAAAAGCAAAGAGTTTTTCCTTCAGAGAGAGCTGTATAAATTGTATTTCTCTACAACTAATTATTGCACATAAAAAGAATAATATATGGTGCCATATATAATGTAATATTCTTTTCTTAATGATGTTGTGAAAATTAAGAAAAGGATACTTGCAAGTTCCAATTAAGGTGTTCACGGATACCTTGTTGAGGTATTCAATATTGTTCTTACAAGTTCCAATAATAGGTGGTTGACAAATAACAACAGCAATTGAAGGCCTCAGTGCCATACATTGGTAGCCTTAATTTTTATCTTGTGCAAAATTGACAATTATTGACAATTTGACATATACTCCTTGAATCATGTGAAACTATTACAAGTGCTATACCATGATTGAGGAAAATTTCATGTGGAGTGAGTAAATCCTTTAAGGCCAACAAAATGAGTTGAACTAGCTAGGCTGGAAAAAATTATAGCCCAGCCTTGGTCAACTTTTTTTGTTGTTGTTGATGTTTTAAGTTATGGAGCATCTTTTATTCGATTTGAGTAGTTGAGCGTTTACGAGACAAGCTCAATTCATGATCTTTAAGTTCAAATAATCATTAAGGTTTTTTTTTTTATAGGTATTCTATCATAAACTCTAGCTTATACCTATAAAAAGAGATATATATTCTCTTGAAGAGACTTCTCAAATATCCAATAAACTTTTTGATATTCACAGAGAGATTTTAGATCAAGAATCAAGATATAAGATATTGTCGCTTTGTAAGTCGAAGTGATCAAGAGACATTCTTCCTCAAGATCAACTCAATATATCAAAAAATTAAAGTATTGTCCGGCATTCTTAGTGATCAATTGTATCACAAGAAGGTGTACAACTGTACATCCTCCTACATTCTAGAAATACACTACTAATGACTTTCAAATCACCGAATACAATTACAAGAGAAGCACCAAGAGATACACAAAATTGTACTCACAATCTTATAAATAAAATAATTCTTTTTGACGCTTGCAAAAACTCCATAAGTGGTGAATATTGTTGAATCTTGAAGCTTTAAAATATAAAAATATTTTTTTTTTTATAAATAAGCTCCGTTTCGAATGAGTATTGCTACGAAAGATCGAGTATATATTGCGGAAACTAAATATGAAATTTAAGGTGATTTTGTATAGTTTTTGAGGTGTTTTGGATTGATATGAAGCTTGGATTAAAGGAAGAAGACAAAGTCGGGTGTTGTATAATAGTATATAATATTATATAGTATTGTATATAATATTATATATTTGAATGTATGATATTGTATATCATGTTTTTAAACATATATTGTTATAAAACCGTTTATGAAAGTTTTGTATATTATTGTATACCGAATGTATATCTTTTATATTATTGTATATCAAATTTCTTAAACATTGCCGTAAGAAAATAGTATCTATGCGACTAAAAGCATAGAAACTTGGCTATGTAAATAATGGGAAAAATATCTTCCTTATCAGTAATGGGATATAGTGTTTTGAGCTAAATATTTGTAATATATAAAACAGAGAAGGGTTTAAAATGCCCTTCAACTATTTAAATTGGTTCAAAACTACCCTCCACCCAACTTTCGGCCCCCAAATACCCTGACGTCAACTTTTTGGCTCAAAAATACTCTCGATGTTAATCTTGACTCACATTTGCCCTTATTTTTAAGGGCAAATTACAGAAATCACATACTTTTAAGGCAAAATTACAATCTATCTCTTAAAAGTTTATAATTACAAAAATCCCTCAAACGGATACAATAATATAAGCGCTGATACACTAATTTGATGCGCGAGATACAATAATATAAGCGCTGATACATTAATCTAATGCGCGAGATACAATAATATAAGCGTTGATACACTAATCTGATGTGCTAAAATGAGGGATTTTGGAGATTTGTAAAACTTATAGGGGATAATGGTAATAAGTAAACTAAAATGTGGGATTTCTGTAATTTTTCCTATTTTTAATAGCTCCCTCAAAGTAAAATTATTAAATATTTATTTATTATGTTGTCTAATGTGATTGGTCCAAATTTAAACACTTCTCAAATAAATAATAAAAACATATTTTTGAAAATTTATATTTTTATAAAACCACATATGACTCATATTTTTGACATGATACGCTTGAAAATAATATTAAAAAATAATTAGTTTCATGATATCTTCCTATTGGCCTATTTTAAATCAACCCCCAATTTATTATAATCCAACTCATAAATGGGGATCCAACTAAAATCCATACTCACCCCAATTGATTGTCCATCTAAATTTTTTATTATTTTTATTAATATTAATTTTCTCTCAATTATCCAAATATCTTGTCTATTTTCTTTTTTAGTCTTTTATTCTTTATTAGGATATCAAGGACTCAAACTAGAAATGAACTCACATGTTCATATATTTTTAATTTGTATTATTGTCATGGTGGAATCAGGGATGGAGGTGGATATGAGAGAAATGATTATTTTTATTCTTTTATTTTGAATTTTGGATACACACAAAAGAAAAATGCATTATACGTATAGATTTGCTTCATTACATCATATTTTATTGAACTAATTATTTCTATATGAATGTCATTGTTATTTTCCTTCTTTTTCTCCCTTTTTGTCATAAATTGAAAAAAATTAAAATGATGGACAAGATCCAATTAGAAAAAAAAAGTAAGAGAGAGGAAGAGAAGGGGTTGGGGGGGGGGGGGGGGGGGGGGGGGGGGGGGGGGGGGGGGGGGGGGGGGGGGGGGGGGGGGGGGGGGGTTTTTTTCTATTTTCAATCTGCTATGAAATTTAAAATCAAGTCAACCATATGGGCTTATATATAAAATAATTTCAAATTATTTTAATGGATAAGGGCCTAAAATGCTCTAAACTATGGGATTAGGTACAATATTGCTCTCCATCAACCTTATGT